GCACTAAAACGAATGTAAATGCCATTTTCTACATGAATTATTAAATGAATGTGAAAGCAGGTCTCAGATGGGTGAAACCGAAACCGAGGAAGTCAAGAAGGCTAAATTCCCTCCAGTGTTCACGATTTCGCCTCGTCGAATTCAGGCGGTCGAGAACGAACCGGCTCGATTCGAATGTGCCGTTTCAGGCAATCCGGCGCCGAGAGTGACCTGGTTCATCAACGGCCGCCAAGCTGTGACGGTTCGCACTGCCTCCATTGCTCCCGTTTCAATGAGATTAATTTGTATTGTGTTTTAGGGTTCACGATTCAAGTTGAGCTACGACGGTATGCACTATTTCTCAATCCCGAGGGTGATCCCTCAAGACGCTGGCGAGATCATTTGCGTGGCGCGAAACTCCGAGGGTGAGGTTCAGGTGGCGGCCACTCTGGACGTGTTTGAACTGAAAGACTTCCGAACGCATAAACTGAAAACCGGCAAACGCGAATCAGAAACCGATGCTTTACAACGAGAAGAAAAGTGGAAACAGGAGATGCTCGGCTCGCTCGGCCAGGTGTTCGAAAAGGCTCCAAAACCGAGCTTCCAGAAATTGCTCGAAGTCGAGGCTGCGAAGGAGCCCGTGGAACCACTGGAGTCTGAGGAGTTGAAGCAAAAGTTCCAACGTAAACGACACGATGAAATTTATGAGAAGATACTGCCGCCTGACCAGACGAAGGTTCGAGGTCCATCCGGATTCACCGAAACTGTGCAGCTAAAGCCAACCCGGTTGCAACAGCGAGAACTACCGAAAGAAGAGAAAATCAACGTCGAACTTCGATCCACCCCGAGGTAATTACGCAGTTAATCTTGAACGACACGAAATTAAACTTTCTGCAGGAAAGAAAAACCTCCAGAAGAACCTCAAGTACCTGCTTGGCAGATGGGCTTGAAGAAGCTGAACGTCGAGGCTATGAACCTTCTGCCTCCACCGGAGAAGGAGGTCGAAATTTCCGCGAAAGATCAGATAAAGCTCAGGCCTGCCAAGCCGAAGCCTGCTGATCAGCCGACTGAATTCGAACACTTTAAACTCGCTTCCGAAAAGCCGATACCGAAGTCTGGTCTTAGACAAAAGGAAAGCGAACCAGAAGTAGAACCTTCGGTCCCGGCTAAGCAAGTCGCCCTGAAACCTTCGTTTGCTCCCAAGGCTGCGTTGCCTGCCGAGCAAGCCAACATCGCCGCAGTGCAGTTGAAGCCGGCTGTGATTATCAAACAGTGAGTGATTTATTATAACAATGCCAAAGAGCAGGAGATATGTGATAAAATGATTCCGTTGATTTTCACTGCGTTCAGATAACTCAAACAAAGAAACTATTCATCATGTCTGAAAGCTAGTATTTGACACCGTTGGTTGGCATATTATGTGCCGGTTGTTTCTCTGTATTCGCACAGTATAATGGTACCACCCCTTTGCACCGATTTTAGCTGCCTAAGCAAACCTCAGCTTCAAACTACTGTTGTACATGCATTTAATTTTGGCATTACTTCTTCGGTCAACAAAGTATGTTTGAGCGTAATATCCATATGCACACGTGCGTATGTTGTCAAGAACAGTAATCCGTCCATGAAACTGTTTTGCTGCCTAGTCTCAGGCGACAGCTTTTCTCTTTGACCGCTTAATGGCCAAGTATTACAGCTTGAGCATGCAGCGCCTGACCTGTATGTTAAATTTACTGTAAGCTGTCAATTAAGCTAGCGTAGAGAAAGCAGTTTCGGAATCCAAAACTATTACAGGTGAAAAGTCTTCCTGTCTGGTTGGGGTCCCTGCTAAACTCCATTGCAGCATGAAAACATTTTAGTTATTATAGTCATGCAACGAATTATGAAATCAGTCATTTAGATAAATTTGTTCAGCTTCGAGCACTAAAAGCAAGGACGGCTTGAATGATCAGAACTTAGGTGATTTGCATGGATATCGATTGTTGCTGGACGATACTTTCACCTTTGTTTGAAAGAAAGCATGAAGGGAGTTTCAAATGAGGCATGCATCCCAAAAAATTAATGTTCGACGAACACCAAGAGCAGTAACGAAAATAACGACGCTTCGATGATGAAAATTAACCTCCTGGCGACTTGAAATTGACTGTAACATTGGGTGTTTAGATATGATTCTTTATGGCTTCGTTTCATTACGCTTTATTTTATCGCTTAGAAGCGAAAAGACTCGAAATATAGAAAACTGACGTAGTTTAACAATAAGTAACTTATTCTGGGTTCCAATATATCAGTTTAATCAATTGAATAAAATTCTGATTTTATTATACAGCGGTAAGAATTTCAAGGACATGCTAGCCTGGACGAGGGTCTTTCCAAATGCGAAAGACTCGGTTGCGTAGCTGCTTTCGCTACGCTGGCTAAATTCGTTGCTCTATGTTACTTTGATATAAAGGCAAAGCGCTGTATGTTCCGCTGCAATAAGTTTGTCGCTTTGAACTGAATAACCTCTCAGTTTCAGCCCCTAATGGTGTAGACGGATTGCAAGTGTGGATGGTGAAATATGTAAAAACTAACTTCCTATCATATATCAATATTTTATGTTACCGAACTTAGTAACATGTGTCTACAGTTCTGTGATGCCATGGAATCGAGGTTTGCTTAAATGATTACCTGACAGCTAAAAACAATGAAAGGATTGGATTGTGCCGTTCGAATTTTGTGAGGTTACGCATATATGCAGTTGCACGAGGGCAAATGGTCTGTTGCACATAACTGAAAGCGACATTTTGGACAAACTACGTAGATTCTCGATCGAAAGAGATCTGTTGTTCATGTGGTCTTTTTGTCTTCGTTACTTCCGGGTTCAGTAGTGATATGCATTTAGTAGTGCATATCCTTCATAGCCCCCAACGACAGGAAGAATTAGCAGAATAAGAAACGTACAGTGAACTTTGGCCAAAACGTGTTGATGCACTTTTATTCTAATTTACATACTCACATTTTCTTAAGCAGCACCTACTGAGGGATAAATCAGACCAGATTCAAACCCCAGTTAATTTTAGCAGTTCTTCGAGTAAAAAATAGCACATAAAATCAAGAAGGCCTGACCTAAACGGGTGCTCTTATTCTTCATCAGTTGTGTCCCTGCTGCCTATTAGTATGTGTTACGTATAAATGTAAAATAGGTTTTTTTCGCCATCCGGCTACATATATGTTTTTTCAGGGAAGAGAAAGAAGAGAAACCTATCCTGAAGGTATGTTTTGATTCGATACTTGATAAGTGTCACGTCTAAATTTTCTTAAATTTATCAATTAAAATTTAATTAATCTGCAACAGTAAATTGTTACTAATATAGCTAAAGACTTTCGAAACTCCGCAAGCAATAACAAGCGAACTGCAAGTAACACTAACGCTCAGTATCCTAGCTAGCACTAGGGCAAGAGTTAATTGCACTATTATTTCCAATTTACCGAAACCATTACTTTCGTCACCGCCTGTGCTGTCCTTTATAAGAAACAGAGGTATAATGACGTTCATAATTCGTATACCTGCAATTAATGTTTAGAATAAGTAATGTTACCGTAACCTCAGGCGCATTGATATTTGAGCAGTAGGATTGTCAACTTTAGTGATATCTGAATTAAAGAAGCCTAAAGTTTGATAACTCAGCTCGAGTCTTCCTGTTGGAAATACTGTCACGTTTTGCACAGACATCAGCATAACGTCGACTTGTCCCGGTGAAGCTTTGGTTTGTACCATTTATAGTCGTCGTAAAAGTGTTTGTAATACTGACAGTAATGTCCTTTG